GACGGCAGCGGTCTCCTCCTTTACAGCTGTGGCTCATGTATCATTCTTGCAATTCCTGGGCAGCACCATCACACAAATATTCCACTGAATTGTGAACCCGATCTGAGCACTATTTCAATGCTGGAACAACCGGAATCGATATTTCTGACAAGAGCCATATGCAAAGTGACAACTGACCCCGGGATAAAGTAGATTTTTTGCTCCCAGGATTTACACCGTTCCTTCGTTTCCTGACGAGTGTTGTCTATCGCCCCTAAACACACCGCGTTCATTATAACGGTCAGTCTGTTCCATGCAAACCGTGAATAAACAATTGACTGTTTGAATTCCCACGGAACGAACAACAAGCTTCGTTCCCTTTCGATTCAACAAACTAGTCACACAGGACAGCAGTGTGTTGCAACACCCATTGAAAACGAAGACATTTGTCCATAAGTTTACCCGGTTAGCTAACTGCCGGAAATTAGTTTACGAGTTAGCAGTAATTGGCCAGCAAACAAACACGATTAACAACAGTGGCAGGTGTAAACGAGTGAAGATCAGTACTGTCAATATTAGATGTCACAATGTTTGCGAATTGCAAAGTAGATTAAGTGTCCCCGGTTCGGATCACCACCTCATGGGGAGAGGGAGAGAAGCGAGACGTGTCTGATTTCATCCATACAAAATAAATGACGCCAAGGCGAACGAGAGACTAGAACTCACTCGTTTTCGATCGGCCAAGCATGGGGATACAGGCGGGAGAGGAATACGCATGAAAACAGGGTAAAAGAATTTGCATTTCAGACAACCAACAACAGGGAGTTTCTCAAGTTTCATCCACAGTACCGGGAATGATGAGGAGACCCTAAGCATCGCTATAATGGTCTTCTGCAACCGGCCTTTACTGTGTACTGGATGACATGAAAAACTGTTATGCGTATTGGATGAATGGATGGATGGATTGATGGACGGACGGACGGACGAAAGTACTTTGTATTGAAGAACAAAAACAAATTGATTGCAAAGTCATGACAACGGTTACTTTGTCTTATTTTATTATTTGTTGTTAGTGAAAGATGACAAACCAATTAAGTGTCCCTGTAGTAAGTCAACACAGTGTACTGGACAGGCTTACCTCAGTCCTTGACAGGTATCCACAGCCACAAATGTATCCGGTTCTGACCGGTTCGGATCGTGTCTGACTGTGCCCGTGTAGAAGCAGTGATCCAATTTCTAATCAAGAGGACGAAAGAAATGGATGACCAGAGCAAAAAAAACAGAGATAACTTTTTCTTGCCAAATCATCAAGTTTACTGATAGCAGCAGAGAAAATATGACGTTTAATTCGATCGATTATGGGATTAACAATGTTGTGACAGATCGTATGCAGTGTGCATAGTCACCAGTGGAATTATTCAGTCATTTGTCCAATTATGATCATATAATACTCGATGTATGGACATTACCGAAACAATCGTATTGACAAAATAAGCACTCAATTTCACTCCCTTCAAACTGGTGACATTTGTGAGAAATTACAGTGATAAAGGAAAACTGAAATGGAACTGAAACGGCTCCGGTGTCCTTTGTGACAATCAGAAGTGCGCATATCCGAATCCCAGGAACGAGTGTTGATCGAATTTGAGAAACAAGTGGACTTTCATCAACCCGCTTTCAATGATAAGTGTGCTCGGCCTCGTGCACGGGAACAGACACGATGGCAATCTATAGCACGCGCGAACACACACACACACACACAACCTATTCCGAGGGTCAGTGACAGTTTGAAACTAAAATACATTTCTAGTTCACAAGTAAGTGAGTCAAATTTGAAATTTCTATATAAACTGACACGTCTCACAAGTTCGATTCAGACATACAAGTACAGAGTGTGCCAGACTGGAGAGAAGCGCCTACCAATTCTGGCTGTGGTCGCTGTCACTAGGCTGACAACAAAGAGGGAGACATCGCCAGCGCCAGCGCGAGCACACATACACTTGCCGTTTTGTTCAATGATTAATTAGCATGACTGATATGCCGGTGAAATTGAGCAAAACAAACACCATAACAATGAAACAAAAGTGGTGACCGTGCTGGAGAGTTTCATGTTGTTGGACACGCCATACACTTTATTCGCGAGTGCATCCGTACAACCGCACACATACACAGTGCTCAAACGTTCCCTTCTCTTCTGTGTTGATCCAATGTGAGATAAGGTGCGAAAAATCGTGGATACGGTCAAACCCAAAATGAACCAATCTAACAAAGGGACTAATAGGGGGGGGGAGAAAAACTTTTCCCATGTATAAGAAATTTTATTTGTTACACAAAAATGAGCATCTCATTTTCTCCAACTATTCTCCATCACCATTCATGCACACACAGTTCCATGTGCTCAAACCATTTGGTCAAACAGCTCGGCCATACCGAAGCGGGTAACTACCCGTTGTCCAGTTCAACAAAGGCCTCAATTTCAGCTATTGATGACTCGAGTCGGATTTCACGTATCATGCGCTTGACATCTGGGAACACAAAAAAGTCACACTGAACAAGGTTTGGAGTACAGAGTGGGTGACCAACCTTCTGGATGCGTTCTCTAACCAGAAAATCGCCGAAGACATGGGACCTGTGTGCACGGGCGTTGTCATGTCACAACAAATGCTCGAGTCGTTGGACGACGCAAAAAAGGTCACCCGGAGCAAGGTCATCACCAGCGGTAATTGGCAAACGATCAACATTCTGCTGCTACTGCTGATGCTTTAAATCACATTTTTAGTCGCAAAAAACCATCGTCCACATCCAGCGACATCGACTGAGTTTCATCGTTACAGTTCGAGTGTATAGCGACCTTCGTATGTGACGTGTGAGCTGTGCTCTCGGCTGTGTTGGTATTTGGTGCTGTGTGAGTTGCAATTACTAGACAATATTCGCAAAACAGATTACAGTTCATGGTTTTCCTTGCCCGATCATCTGCACCTCTTACTCGTCGTGTAATGCGTATAACGGAGACATTTCTGCTCAGACGTTGTATTATGCAAAACTTACTCGATTCTCCCGGCTGTCGAGTGCGGTTTCAATTTACATTCCCCCGAATCTTTCTCACACAGACCTCACTGTTCTTTCTTCGTCCAGCCTGACAAACGATCTCTCTCTCACACACAATTTGTTCACCCTGTACCAATGCAACTTTTCCTATCTGAAGCCATCACACCATTTTCTTCAACTGTTTCGTTTTCTCCCCACTTGGATTTGGGGACGCAATGTCCAGTTCCGAAGTCAAATCGGGAATCGGTTTTCGCATTCAGCCAGGAGAAGGCTCGGTGTTATGGTGCATAATGGTGTGCGGTTGTGCTATTATTGATCGTAACGGGAATCCGGTTCCCGATATGCGCACCATGTTGCACGTATGTGAGTGTGTGTGTGTGTATATCACGAAAAAAGTAACGAGAAGCTGGGAAAGAGAGAGTGAGATTGACTTGTCCAAATATGTCAATGACTAATATATTCCTTGTTGGGCATCTCTACCTTTCTAGCAAGGCACGCGGTGGGTGATAAACAAATGATCCAAGCATAACTACGCTTCTCTTATATTGACGTCCGATAGCTTCGAGAAGGTCGCCAAATTCGGGCATATGTGCATACTGGTTTGATATTTGATTTTTTTTCTCGTATAACGATACATTTTAAGCTCTCAAGCCGTATCAACCGAACAACGGAAGTGAGGAGGGTTGTACCGGTCGTTTGCCCAAAACAAACAGAGAACTGTGGACCAATAAAAAAGATGACAGCCACACGAAACCGAGTCAAATCACGAGCAAGTCGATTGAATGATTACACAAAAGCCAAATCGAGCGTTTCCTGATCCTCTCCTCAACAGCCAATGAGTAACCAGTGTATCCCTTTGTTTCTCTTAACGAAACAGCAGCCACCCTGCATGAATAGATTGTCAACAAGGCTTGATATGTGCCCCTGGTTTCCAACACACCTTGTAAGCGCTCTCCTTAATAAGACTAGATTTGATGGTCTCGAACTATTCGATACCGAGTTGAGCGGAGTTCATTGGGATTAAGATCTGGCAATCGAGTAGGTCATCGTATTCGGTGAGCGATTCTTGCAAATCAGCCTTCGAAGCGGAACTCTCCGATCGTCTATCAGCTCAATCACCAGCCGAAGGACTCAATGAGCACTGGGAGTAATTTAATGAAGTTATGCAAATGTCAATAAAAACAACGTAAACTATCGCGCGATCTCAAAACATAAACGATCGATCTTATCGATCTCGGCTTCCCTGCTGGACGCCCGCAGAA